GCTCCGGAGCACCGCAGTGGCCGACAGAGCCGGAGCCGGGCCCTGGGCGAGCCTGGGGGTCCATAGCCCAGAGGCACGCAGGCAGCTTTCTGGAAGAACATAATGATTTCTGAAAGAACGTAATAATTTCTGAAAGAACAGCACCAAAACCGAGCCTTTTGAGAAAATGTTTTTATTTTTTTGTTGAGTTGGCATGTTCCAGCAGAAATATTTTTCCAATCAGTTAATTATTTTTAAGCCCAGCTATTCTAGAGAGGAATAGCCAGGATAGCAGGGCTACGGTCCTTCTGTGTACAATTACCACGGCCTTCCTAACACCACAGGCAACAGACCCCAGTTAGGAAGAAATAGGAGAACTTTTGTACTATTGTGTGTTTGTGTAACTCCAGCTCAGAAAGGCAAACCAAAACTCTTTTCCCTCAGAGTGACAATTCTGGGTAACATTTTTTAGGTGCTGACAGGCCTGCTGTGGAAAAGGGCTTTTTTCCTGGTTGTATTTGAAAGTTTCCTTCTTAGTCTCCAGGCCAGTTCACTGTTCAAACCCCCAACCTAACCCCAAAGAAATCTCATCGGTTAAGGCAGTCCTTTCTCAAGCTTTCCAGTTTGCAAGAAAGAAGACGGCGTTTGTAGCACCCCACTACAATCCTCCACTGCTCTCAGATGATGCTGGAGAACACTGGAATCCTTTGCTACATTAGGTGCAATACACTGAAATGGCTTTCCAGGATGTGCACAGATAAAGACAAAAATCAAACTCTTCAGATAGTGAAAATTAGCATTACTCCACCGGGAAAGGCAGAACACCTTTCACACGCCAGCCACATATATCATTTAACACACAATTTACATACTTGTCACAGTCATACTTCGGCTTCAGTGGAGATGTGCCTACTTACAGCAGGGTATGTTTGCTTCTGACTTCTCTTTGTAGGTAAAAACATGGTAGATATGAATAGAGTATGGGCAGGAAAGTCACTGGCCAGTAGACCTTCAACTGAACATGAGCTTCTCACTTCAAATTAGAGGTGCTGGCAGTAGCCCTCTCTGACTTTCTCCCTCCACGACCGCTTGAGAAGTGGGAGTGTTGGCAAACTGACATTTTCCAGGGTTGTGAAGACAAACTGTTCAGGAAATGAAGCAGGGGGGTGACTGTACCATCAATCCCATTAAAAGTTCAACTTGCTACCTAAGTACGCATTTAACATGTGAATAAAATATCTGGGGCTTTTCTATTATTAGTCTCCTCATGAGTGGATGAATATATTAAAGCTTATAAGGCTCTGAGAGATTCTGCGACGGATGCTGCTCGAGGAGTGCAGCACACACAGACAGATCATCCACACACATGTAAGTGATATTCATTTATGGAAGTTTTTTGTAAGAACTGTAAAGACCCCCCTCGGTTAATGACACTGTTCAGTCTTCTTACATTTCTTCACAGATCGAGGGTAGAAAAGTATTCCCTTACCCCTTCGGTGCTTGTTGCTAGAGGCATCCTGGTAATCAGACTAATCTTGGGACCAATTTTCAACTCCTAACAGCTCAGTAAACTAAAATGCTTAGGCAATTTATTCTCTGTATATTGTCAGCTAGGTAACACTTGATTTCTCATTCCATGACTGCATTTTATTGTTTTAAACTGAAATCCAGCATGTGTATTTCCAACAGATTATCTCCATAATCACTTTCTTTTTGCTATGGAAATGATCTGAAAATTGTTCTTTGATATGAGAGAAGAGTTCACAAGGCCACACTGTACAAAAGCTCGAATCATGCAATTATCATTTGTAAAGAGAAACTGTTATCAAAGTAACTGCAGGGGACACCTCCAGGACTCCTCTTAGAGTCAGGAAATTTGAAACATATATTTCTCTAACATGAATTTCACTCCAAACCCTTCTGAATAATTCATGAGAGCTGATTTAATGTCATAGTTAAGTCTGGCACTCAGGACGGAGATTGGGGGCTTTTGCCGCAGATGGAGGATTTCGCCAGTTCCTTTGGGGTAGGAGGGACAGAGCTGGGGGCTCATCACTAGGAGGGCTTTACTACCCAGGTGCCTTTGATTTGGGAAAGTCCCTTCCCCCTGATGAGCAGGCTTGCAGGGAAAGGCTGGGGTGGAGGCAAGCACCCTCCTTACTTCTGTCTCAGGCTCCCTGCTGGGGAGGCAGGAAGGTAAAGGGGAGCGGGAGCCCCCCCATCCCCCTGCCTCACTCTGCCCCCACCAGTGCTAATGGCAATCAGAACCAGAGCCTCTATTTTTCTTATGCAGGATCAGATTACCCCCACTGGCGGATTACAGATGTTACCTGTTCTTTAAAGGAAGAAGGCACCTTGAGATGGGAAAACGCCATTTTGTTCTTCATTCACTAAATCGGAGGAGCTACAAATTGCTGGAAAACGGTAGTTTACAACGCACTAAACGGAAGACCTGCAGTTTGGCATGTGACCAATACCGAAAGAGTGAGGCTGGTTTTAACTATCATCTTGTGTGTCTACAGGCAGGAAAATTAGCTGAAGGGATGCTCGTTGCTTGTATTTTTTACTTGTAAAAGTAAAAAGTAAAGGGGTCAGAGGCAGCTGTGCCCTGAGGGCTCGTTTCACCAGCATGACTGCTGCTGCCAAATTCCTGCTCTCTTCCAACCTAGGATGAGTTGGAGAACTAAATCTATGAGGGAGCCCCCTCCCCAGGCTCTGGGGACTTTTTGAGCAAAGCTGACTTCCGTGAACTCAGGATTTCACCCTCACGGGGCTCTGGTCTGTTACTGTGCTAAAACTATCCAGGACTCACATTCCCATTACGCAGTATAGCCTGAAGACTAAATGCCATTTGATGTTGCCAGATTTTTGGAAGAGAACACAGGGAAATGGAAAACAACCATCTTCTAGGACTTATCAGCATTTAATCCCAAAGCACTTTTCTAATGCCAGGTGCTCCTTCTTTTTACAGACGGCAAAACTAAGGCATATGTATTTTGACCAAGGTCAGAGAGTGGCAAAATATTCAGATTTTGTTAATTCCCAGAGGCCAAATTCCTCCCCTATAAGAACAGGGTGCTGATACGCAGAACCATGCTGCCCAGTCGCTGAGCAGTGCTGAGCATAACTGTGTTTGTTTTTCATTATACAACAGGCTATGATGCTGTCACTGATAACTCAGATGTAAAACTGATGAGTTGCAATACAAAACTATGACAGTTTTATCCTCAGCAATCTCATTTTGCTGAAACGCAACAATCATGAATACTTGTTAATTATTCTCTTTGTATTATGCAAGATTTTATACTTAAATAGGAGTCGTGTGGTTACTACTTACAGATATTCAAAAGCCAAACAGTTGTCTTTAAGATACTTGAGGAACTGGGGAAAAACACATGACTGTGAAGTGAGAAGTTGGTCCTAACACATCTTGTTCTAAAGCCTCTGTATTTTTCAAATTTTAATCATTGCCTAATGCTATAGATGACACCTACTGGGCAAATGAAGGCCTGGCACATCCAGCATTTCACAGCCTTCTGAATACTTGGTTATTTCCCGAAATTGCTGACAAGAATGAATCCTCTTTACCCACTGCAACAAGATTTTGTTGCACCCTTTACACAGGCAGGCAATTCATAACTGCTAAGAGGAAGGCCAGAAGTACAAACCTTCAACTTGCTAGAACCTACAGGATAAAAAGTGGCTATGTGTTTGCAGAGGAGGGGATGCCTAAATTGTCCTCCTGAGACTATTACTTTTATTGAAGTCTAAATAGTCCCTCTGTTTTGTAAGCTTTGTACAGAAGCAGGAAGACCAGAGCATTAGGGAAAATACTGCTTACCTTTTTTTTATCACTGGTTAATTTTCTTTTGCTTTGCAGGCAACTATAATGATAACTTTGTTACACCACCCCATTACCAATCAGTGTTAAACAATGAAATAGCAGTGTGTTAGAGTTCATCAAATACAAGCGATATTAATGGCATAGTTAGAAAGAAAACACTGAAAACTCTCCCTTTATGTTGGCTAATTATTCACATTGGGACTAATAATAGATTTTCAATGAATAAAAATGATATTAGGTATATTATTCAAGTTGTTGCTCTTACTGCTTTCTAGAGAAACTGATTTGAAGAGCAAACTTCTATCAACTCAAACTGCAAAAGCATGCAACCCAAACATGAGGGGTACTCTTCTCAAAGTTAGCCTACATTCTGTATTATGCACTCATTGATGTAACTCCACTGATGAAAATTCCAAGTATTTAGAGAAAAAAACCATAAGATTATTGCTCCGCATTTGAACTAAGAAGAAAAACTTCCACACACTTTGCATGTGCAGCTACAGTGATTAACTGCATATATTAGATAGTTGCAAGCATAATTAGTTAGCTGTCTGCACAACTCAAATTACCCAGGAAACACTTTATTGCCCATGGTAATTGCAAACCTGATGTGCCACCACTGCGCGCACCTTTTTGTGTAAAACAGACACTTAAATATAAGGAAAAATAGTTTAGAAATTTTAGTATCTTAAAAATTGATTCCATCTTTTATTAACTTAATAGGGAAATTTCTAACAAACTTGTATTCAAATAAAAAAAATAAAAAAAAGAAGAAACCTGTACATTCCGGAGTGGTCCAGAACTTAGCTCTGCATGGCCCCAGAAAATAATGCCAAATAGTAAGGTCTCCAGATCCCTGGAGAAATGACAGACTGGCAGGTAGTGTCATGATTTTTTTTAACATACCAGTTTTTGTCAGCTGCTCAAGTTTAATGAGGGGATTCGTTTTGACCTATTGGTCTTTGAATGTTCACATACATATTCTCCCTCATGTGATGAGAATATACGGGGCAGTGTGCTTCTCCCATCATCTTTGGTATTTGGAAAGCTATAGAAACTTTAATCTGCACTGAAAGTTTGCTTCGCAGGAGAGAGCCCTGAATACAAACCTCCCACCAGTTGAGGCACGGAGACCATTCCCTCAGGCAGCCATACTCCATTTTTCTTTCTGGGAGCTTTAAGGTAAGATCTCACCAGGCACTGTTCGGGAGTTGAATATATTCGTATAGAAATCTATCAGCAGTTCAGTGAAGAGATTCAGAGGTACCAGAGCACTCAGAGAGGCTGTTCCTTTCGATGGCCAGATCAAATTCAAGCCAAAGACACAGGCCAGGCTGGATGCTGTCATTCTGTTATATATGCTCTCCTGTGAAACCTGGAAAAACATAAACATGAATAGGTATATGCAGACACGTGCCCCAGAGAGTGAGAGACAACACACCATCCTGTATCGAGGATGAATGAATGATGGGAGTAGACCCTGGCCACAGGTACATCACTGGCTTCTTAACAGCCTCAGGGCTGACTATGCAGTCTAGAGCTATGGGGCCACTGGCATCTGTGTCCCTCAAATACAAGATAAGATGTCATTAAGTCAAGCAAAAAGGCTGAATTGTTTCCTTATGCTAGGAAAATTAATTGTTTGCAATCCTTCTATATGGAATCTATTTTTATCTCTGCTGGAAGGCAGGGAAGGACAGCATAAACAAACAGCTATCCCATCTGCTTTGGTACTAAATCCTCTATAGAATAAACATCGAGGATTTCTCAAATTGTTTGCAGGGGTTTAGAAGGATTTTCTTTTTCTCCCACTGATGCATGACTTCACTTCCAAGTTCCTCCACATCCACCCAATTCCTCTGAAGCAATGGAGGTGAAAATGGGCTGTAGGTAAAATACACAGCACTGAAATCTGTTCTGCACCTGGATGATGTGTCCTACTTCTATCTGTGGCTGTGAGGCCAGAACTAGCAGGAGTACTTTTTTCTCTGGGTCAACTTGGCAGGGAATTTGTGTGTGTTTTGCTCTCCTGCATTGCATGGCTGGCATCTAAAGCCCAATACGGTCTGGGTGTCTTATCTGACAAGTTCTCTGTTATTGTAAAGAGCCAGCAAGCTGAAGGTGCTTTTCATTCCTCCTGACCTAGGTAATTCAGCCAGTTCTTCTCAGGCTGATGGTTGCAGTTGTTGATCAGTAATCTGTCATGGGAAGACCATGCAGTCACAAACCGCGATGTACAGGTTACTCGGAAGCTGTCATCTCAGAACAGAACAAGGAATTATTGGGCAAAATCTCCCGTGTATTCTTCCTGCTACAATTTCAAGTGGAATAGGAAAGCAAAAATTCTACTTCTCAATGTCTCTCCATTTCTGCCTTGCCATAAAGCCTCCTGAAAAGGCAGCTCTGTAGTACTATGAAAAGCCTGAGGGCACTATAGGAAAATCTAAGAAACATTATGATCACGTGAACATTTCTTAGCACATGCATAAACTCCAGTTGCCCTCTGCCTGGCAACACAGGTTTCATTCCCCTCTATCTCCTACAGCACAGTCCCACCCTCCTTGGTGTTCTACCTAGCAAGGAGCCTATTTGCTCAGCCGTGAGGGGATATAATGCCCTTTAGACACATGCGCAGGATGGAAGTCTTTTTCTTAGAGGACATCCAGAAGCACTTACATGCCCAAAAGCATAACACTTTCTTCCTAACCATATTAATTTTTCCATTAATAGGTACTATTTTTCCCTCCAATCTTTGCCTCACCCTCCTGAGACATCAAAGCTACCGTGATGCTACTTCTGCTACAAATATTAAAGGCTTCAATTGTTTTTAAGGTCATGAAGCAGGGCTGGATAAAGGAATGAGGTATTAATAAGGAGATACTGGTGCCACAACCACCTTTTCAAAGGATTGACTTCACAACTTGAGAATAAAAAGTCATCAGATTAAGCAGCAATGCCTGCTTCATGACCTTATGCAAAACCCACATCGTTCTCTCTAGAGTAGGAACCACGTATAGCCTGCTGACCTTCACATACTGCTCTCAATGCACTATTTAACTATACTGAAAAACCAACAAGCCCATCTTGTTCATTTAATCTGCTTCAGATGAGATCAGCTCAAACAAAAGTTCATTATACTACAGCAATGTAGCAAAAGCTAAACTACTACCAAAATAACTGATGAGGGAAAACAATTAGGAAAACATTAAGTGGAGTACCCTGTTAAAAAGGAGACATAGACCTAGGTATTGTCCTGAAGGCAGCTGGACAATAAAGCTGGCATTTGGATACCACTAAATATAACAAGGCTAGGGACTGCGTTCTGGCCCTTGGGTCAAGTGGCTCATACTGGCTGCATCCACACTGTGTAATGTTGTACTGTGAAACCCCTGTGGATTGAGTGTTTCTTTCACTTGAAAGTCTCTAAAATAACGTGAAAGCTACAGCCCAGCACAAAACCGAAGATATGTGCTGTATATCCTACGACAGGTACCTTAAGCGTATACAGGGCAGGTACCCTGTGATGGCACAGAAGCATGTGGTATAGTACTGGCGGACAGTGGAGGGTGGAAGGAGCTAAACCTGTTGCAGTTGTCTTCCCCCGGTTTTAGGGAGTGCTCCCTGACACACTCCATCCCTCATGTCCTGCACAGGTGCTGTCTTCAAGTGCTTGTTGAAACACACCCAGCTTAACTTAGCCGCTGGCTTCGAAGGCCAACGTTTCAGCCCAAAGCAACACCACTGCGGCTTCCTGGTAGAGCTAGATTTGTTTTTTCTCTTCAGGCCAACTATTTCAAAGAATTGTTTCTAACTCCAAGATGAAACCATCTCTTCCTACCCACCACCACTCTGTGAACATTTCAAGGAGACAGTCAATGTTGAAATGATCAACAAAAATACCCATGACACAGCCTCTCCCCTGAGAGAGAAAATCCTTAAGATAAAATGAACCAGTGATTATATAATCCGAGGCAGAGCTACACTAAGCCTTATCTGTGAGTCATCAACCAGGCTGACACTTAGGAATTCAAGGGAGACACGGCACGTTTCTTCACTCCAAAATGCACAGCAATCCCTTCCTCAGCAGATCCAAGAAGAAGTGTGCAACTGAATCCAACTCTTTCTCCACAAGAATCTTTGCCCACTCATCAACAGCTGCAAGCAAGGAAGCCTTGTCACACCAGCGGTAATGGCTTTACCCCTCCCCGAGGGGATCAGGCTTCACACTGTCTCAAGCCCCTCACTATTCCAACGCCAGATCTCTTTCTTGAACGACACGAACACATCCGCTTCATCTACAACACTATCATGAGCAGCTGCTGTTTTCTTCCAACACTAGACCATGTAAGGGCAGCATGCGGTCAGCCAACCTCTTCATGGGCTACCCCTCTAAAAAACTGCACCCCAAAGCTACGTCCTATCTAAAAAATACAAATGACATCCTTTGCATTTGGACTAACCCCCTTGACTCCCTCTTTGATTCCCTCACAAAGTTAGTCATCTCTGTTTCAAGTGAAAATACACTTGCTCTGTCAATTTGACAAGCTAATAAAAGACAATTCTCCAAGGACCTAGATCATATCTTTGAAGGAATCATCTGAACATTACAGAAAACTATTACAACAAAGAACTACACAGCTCCAGTTTGTTGTCCCGTCCCCCCCCCCCCTGGAACATGTATAGAAAAATCATTAAGTAATGACAACCTATATTGACAGAAAGTCCTCTAGAAAGATAAAACTTATACATTGCAAAACTTATCATTGGGAAAAAACACTGAAGATTTAGTGCCACATCAACAAATGCAAAATATACATCTTCACTATCCCAGAATAAACACCCAGCTCCCCCCAGCAAAATTGTGACAATTTTTGCATTCCACATCCCAGCACCCTCACGGATACTGCAGGAGTGAAACCAGACAGCCTAATGAACTTAAACAGTAAAATACAAAGGGTAGAAACAGCCAATTACCACCACGTTTTAAAAATATAAGGACATCACCATCTCTTTGGCTTCTCAGTCGCAATGCTGAAAGGAACTCCACAAAACATTTTCAAAAGAAAATTACTAGATTTTAAAACGCCCCCACAAACTGACTGGAAATACAAGTTTCTATCCCCCACTCCCAGCTACCCTGCAGATGTGCTAACTGCTTGTATCTGCTCCATGAGGCTTAGTCATCTAATCCTTGCCAAGGTGCCCTGCCCCGTCATCTCCAGCCACCCCCTAGCTTTGCTGGTGCTAATTACACTTTTCAATGGGACAAGCGATTGAGACAAAACATTAACTCAGAACATATTTTTTCCAGCTTGTACTTGGCTTTAACTTTGCTGCTTCAGTTACAGATCTGAAGCGTAGCTCATGGGCCCCAAAACCTTGTCCATTTTTTCTAGTTGGTCCAAGTTTGATGTTTTGAATTTGGCAGGTTTTTGCAATGGTTCTTTCAGCCAAGTCAGCCACCCTCCCCCTGCATCAGGCATGACTGTAGGGACAGAAATAAGCAGCAGAGACGGAAAGTGTGTAAGCGTAGAGAAGGGGCTGTATCAGCTGGTAGCAAAACCAAAGACATGGTTATAAAAACACCATCTAGATGATATTATTGCCTCTACAAACTTTCTCGATTGTTTAGCTTTAGACTGTAATGGAAAACTACAATTATAGTTTTCTACTAAATGGTTTCTGGCTTCAGAACTGGGTAACTGAGTGCTTTGCCAAGTAATTTGCAAGAAGACTTCTTTGAGCCCTTTAAGTTTGCATGTGCATTCATAAATCCACTTCACTGCATGTGCAACACAGGGCTTGTGGAACACAAGCACTTGTTTGTGCACGTTCATCTCTTGTGAGATCAGCTGAGCAAGCACAGACATTTTTTACAGACATAATTCAGGGACTGACTTATGAAAACTGGTCTTTGTTTTTCCTCCTGCTCCTGGTTGCCCTATGCTGCCTAGGGACCTCAGTCCACTGCAACTCCAAGGGGATCTTGCAAATCCCTCTCTTGCGGCCAGATGCACTGCAAAGTGGAGATGGGCAGCTTATACCTTTCACAGCATGCCGGGCTCATTACTGGCAAAATTACTGCTAATCTAAGGTTAAAGAATTTGGACCTATTTTTGAAATTCAGGTCTTTCACTTCTGTAGGAGTTGCACTGTCTTGCACCCTTGGACTAGAAGGACTGTTTCATTAAGTAAGCAGGTTGAGACCGCAGAGAAAATAGGAATTTTTTTTCCTTCTTCCACAAGCCTGTATCAAACCTGGAGTGTTCAAAACCTGTATCTAGTGATTACAATTCATCCCACTTCATGAAATTACCACAAGTACCTCTTGCACTACTCAAGGCTGAGCTCATGGAAGGATTAAATTGCCTCTTATATGTAAGAAGGTTGATGCTTGCAGGTAAAAACTAGGATTATTGGTAAAGAGCTCTGTTAAAGTTTGAATTGTGGCAGCTTGTGCAGCACACCGATCTGCAATGAATAGAAATCTCTAGCTCCTGGATTGTTTCACGTTCCCTTGACCTTTCCAAATGCAAATATTCCCCGAGACATTAAGGATGAAAAGCCATGGATCAGCAAAAATTGCAGATCTGAGCACTAGTATCAACTTGACGCTGTGCTTTACATAACAAGGCATACTCAAAAATAATGCTATGTTCTGTTGCCCAATTACAGAAAACACTATGTAGTACTTTTGCACACCTCATTAACACCTCAAGTGCTCAGCTCTTAAGAAGTGCGTTGAGATGGTGCATCTATTATTGGAACAAAGTCACTTACACGATTCATAACACTGAGGAGAGATATCAGTTGCTAAAATAATAGCAAATGACATGAGATTTCCTTAATAGCATTAGAGTTCAGCTAAGCGACAGTAAATGAACATGTGGGTGTTACAGGAACCCTGCAAGTGCTGTCTGAGTGAGGGTCATATCAATGTGTTCCCTTTAATCTTGCTTTTCTGTAGTGTTTTGATAGAAAAAGGGATTAAATATACTTGTTTCTGAAATATGCTACTGGCTAGAATATGGCAAACATGATAGTAGCCCAAGAACAGTTACTGAAGGCTAATTCCTCCACTGGTGAAAATCAGCATCATTCCACATACATGATTGCTTTGGTGGGCTCTTAGGACTTCTGAAGGCTAGATCACTTTAATTAGGTGTCAATGATCATCAATCTTAGGCACCTGGGTTTGAAAAATGCAATCTGGAAAAGACAATGCTTTGGATAAGGCAGAAGGAAGGGAAGTACACGCTCCTATTACTGTCTTTTCCTGCACATAAACTGGCAACCAAAGGATGTTCCTAGGCTAACTGTAAAACTATTTGTAATGGATGTTCCCCAAGCCCTCACACTTGTGGGGTTTCCAAAAATGGCTTAAAAAAAATCAGCAAATCAAAAAGTAGGACAAAAGACACACGATTTCATTTATCTGAAGCATACCAAAAATGCTTGCAAAATGTCATGGTCGAAGTTTTTCATTTAACATTGTAGTAAATTACAGGATGAAAGGCTATTTTAAACAGGAAAATGTTATTTGTAAGATTTAATATAAAATATTTTGCTGATTGTTGTTCTAAAGGTCATTAATATTTCTATCATTTTCTAAAATGACACTAATTTATTTGGTGTTTTAGTTGCTCAAGATTTAAACTTTGGAGAAAAAAGGTGATTTCACCTACTTTTCCTCCGGCACCAAAAATTACACAACTACTATTTTCAGGCTTTTTTTCACTCCAAAATAGGAAAAAACCAAAAACTAAATCAATAAAAACATACATTTGTGAATGTGGAGTCCCGGGGACAGGACTTTAAATATTCCAGTACAGGCACAGTTCCATTTAAATTTACACAGTAGTTTTCCTTAGATCTAAAGAATTTCATGGTGAAGGGATGGCCAGACCATTGTTTAGCATTGACTTTTATTAGAACTGGAGGGTTCTGCATCCTGAGTTCACTCTGTTGGCAAGTACTGCACCACCACCTCACCATACTTTTAAAATTCTTCAGTTTTATTTTTTGTGGAGATTTTCAATGTTGAATGAACAAGAACAGATTTAGAAAGAAAAGACTGGCTCTACTTTGGAAATTTTGCCTATACTCACCATATGGAGAAAGCATATCAGATATTTCAGAACAACGTAATTGTGTTCAGGAAGTCCTTGAATGATTTGCTTACATCTGGCGACTCGTAAACTGCTCTCCACACCTGCAATGTCAAAGTCAGTCTTAACTCCAAAACATCAAAATATTACTAAGAAATAATACCTTATTTATATCTGCCGGAATTACTTCAGATACCCATCTGTAAAACTGATCACAAAATTCAGCTCTACTAACCTCCACGACCACAGTAACAGTTAGGGTTATCCATCTGAATGACCCTATCATATTTTGTATTATCATATATCTGACTAAGACTAACTTCCAGGGTATTTTCTCAATTCAGTGAAATAGCCAAAAGAATTTCTTTGCTAGAGAGGACTTTCAAAGGTCTTGATTTGAATCCCATCATCTCTCCATGAATCCAGACGTTTACTTTTTATGCTCTGATTTTATTCTTGCTGAGACATAGTTCTACCCAAAATGCTCTTTTGGCACTCTACTAACTTTAAAAACACTTTTGTGATTCTGCAGGAAACTCTTCTGTCTTGGCAAAAATTTATGAGATAGCCACTTGGGTGGGTAAGAATTTTCTAGAGGTGAACCTAAGCAGGTTTATTAACTCATTTCTACAGATGGGCAAAACCAGAACTGGACCCCAAACTCCTTGCATCATCTAGACAGTCTAGGTGAGAATTACACTAACACTGGATGATATTTCAAATGCTGTTCCAAGTGAATTTTTTTTTTTTTTCCTGCAATATTGTAATTATTTTAGTACTGGAAGTTTAACACCAATGTGGAGAAAGGTCTGATGATTCCAATCATGCCTGACCTAACCAGCTCATTTGTGATGATGTTTTTTCTGCATTTGTTGCATTTCTCTCTCCCTCTCCCTGACACAGCTAGAGGTGTACATAAGTATGTGTGCATGCACAAAATTCCAGCATGTTAAATGTTCCCTTAAGCTCTGGATTAAATACATGAAACTATACTGTGGTGAGCTGTGTTGACATTTTTCCTATTGCAAAGCTACCAGTTCCTGTAAGACACAACAATGTGAATCGCAAGAATTTTTTTGCCAGCCTTCTGCAGAGTAAATAATGCAGTAATTGTAGCAATACTGGATAAAGGAACTCTTGTTAGCAGTTTTCACGGCCAAAGAAGTTGTTCTTTGACAATTACAAGCTTCAAGGGTTTATTAACTTTTTTAGTCAGTCACTTGGCTAATTTATTTCACAGCTCCCACCAATAACTCTTTAGAAAAATGCTTCAGATGAGACACTGAAGAGAAATGTTTCACTATCATTTCAAAGTACTGCAAAGCAGAGATACTGTATTTCTGGGTCTGCAGGTTAAGACATGTAATAGATACATCACACACTGCTCTGGCATCTTCCAGAAGACAGAATGAGAATTTTCAAATCATCCCAAGACAGCTGTCTGCGATCACACCTCTTCAAAGCTCCCTTCTGCACTGTATTCACAGAGAATATGCCTTTGCTGCAGTCCAGCTTGGCTCTCAGCCTTAAAATCTTTTAAAAACAGGGTATCACCACAGCATCAAGAAAAGATAGTGGACATCACATTGCATAACAAGAAAGCCCAAAGAGAAATTCTCTTAAACTCCACTTTTCAACATATTTTGTTAATATTTAAAATGCCAGTAAACAAAAGTAACATGGAATGAATGTTTCACAAGGCGCTCTGCCAAGCAAAACTTCCCAGGGTTCCTAGGACAATGCATTGCTCTCAGATTCTTTTCAGACTTGTTCTCATTTTTCACTTAGCTCTGTCACAAAGTAATATCATGTCCAGAAAGTCAGCACAAGTTTAATTCAGTAAAAATTAGCATTTATGCATCCTTTTTCCAAATTTCCCCTATTCTTTCCAGTTCTGAGTGACTACCCTTAGTCCCTCCATTTCTAATACCTACCTGTGAATAGACCCATTTTTCTCAATGCCCTGAGATATTTACCGTATGAACAGATGAATCCTTGATTTGGAAGGTGGTGATCTACAGACTTGCAAATAGCAAAACAGTACAGAACTTCAGAGGATTCTGAACATGACCCGATGAAGTTTTTTAATAGAAATATATGAATAAAGTTAATGATATGAAACAGTATGCGCAGGTGCTAGTGATGGGCACAGTGTAAGAATTTTACCTAGAATACAGTATATCTAGGTACAGTAAACTTCTGTACTTCTACACTTTACAAACACGTAGCAATTGAGATTTATCCCCAGTCTGAATTATTTTAGCAACAGTCATTATAGTGATGATAACCTACACTTTGCAACAGCATCAGCCCATGGTTACCAGACGTATGCTAACAGACTCTGTTGGAAGCCGTACTCCATTCAGATATAATGTCCTCAAAAAGCAGGTTTTGGAAAAATGTGTGCTTGTGACTTGTGACTGGAAGCCCTATGGGTTCCTGCTAGCTTGACTATAGCCTGGATGGCAAAACACCAGTCTCTACAAGTACTAGGTACTAACTCCCAGATACTCTGGGATCTCAGATATTCAAGCCTCATGTATTAGGGGGTGGCCTTGCCAGCATTATAAACTCCTAGTCCCTGACAAAGACTGCATAACTAAAGTTTTATACTTCATAGTTTCATGTGGTGCCAGATCTTCAGATAATCAATGTCTTCTCTTCTCTTTAGATCCTTTCTTCCCCAATATGTTATCCCATGGGAATAGTTGCCATAAAACCAATTCCCTCCGCACAAAAAAAAAGGAAAAAAAAGGAAAGCAGCATACAAATGACCAACTAAATTTTGGTTCCACAATTCTGCCAATCCTGCTGCTAAAACTAAAGCTGCTTTGACATAACTTGAATCACTGAGACTGACTCAGTGCTGTGCCATGACATATAAATGGAGCCCTGACAGTGAGAAGTCCAATCCAATTCTCAATAATACAGCATGATATATAAAGTAAAGCTTGTAAAAAGCAGAGAGGGTCTTGGTAACCCTGACCACCTTGCTCTGGTGCAGATTATCAGGTTGCCCATCCGTGGCTGCAGGGAAGCACTAATATTATATACCCATAACTGGTCACGGTTAGCAAACAGCAGTGATTATGAATTAGCCAGGTCTAGTTCAACTTGCTGTATCAATTTTTCTAAAACTTATTTATACTCACTGGTGATTCCGAGGATATGATCATAACACTCAAATGTTAGTAATGGCTGAGGGAGTTCCCTAAGGAAAGTCTTTAGGATAACAGCAGATGATAATCATCGAAATTCACAGACTTGCCTGGAAGGAGAAAAAGAAGAAAAAAGGTGTTCAATGATATGTTTTACTTTTTCTTTAAACTACTGCTTAAAAACTGTTTCACGCCACATTTTGAACAGAAAACCTCTTGCCTTTCCGCTGCTGGTAACTCCTGGCATTTTATTTTTGTATTTTTCATAGAGTTTTATTAATCTTGCTATAAGACATTCTCCCCATAAAGGCATTTCATAAAATGACTTCACAGAGAAGGCAGTGACTTTCAAAATTACCTCACTGCGTTTAATAAATTATTAGGTAAAATTGTATTTCTTTGCCATAACCATGGAAAAACACCAGAGGCAAAATGACACAGAGACATTGTACTTCGTAACTACAGTAAAGCACATAGAGGCAATACAAACGTTTTTTGAAAATACAGACCATTTTTGACTCAAACCTTATCACTCACTAGGTGCTACAGATTTTGTAAGCTCTGGTCTGACATCAACTGATGACTTGCTATTCAGTAAGCAGTAAGTGCCCGTTGCTATCTTTCAGGTTTCTCTACTTGTGCTCTTATTATTTTACATTACAAATGGTTTTATGATTAACTAATTATAAGAAAGCTAGCATTTCTGCTTCACCAACAAAACCAAGATCACCAAAGCCCTCATACTATTACTGGCAACGATATGATGACAGCTTACCCTGATTGTAGAGTTTCTGAACATCTTTAATAGTCTGGATGCTGGCTGACCTCCTGAAGAGGCCCTCTACTTGTAGTCCTGAAAAAACAATTAATGCAGGTCTCATCTGCAACAGCTGTCACTCTCTTGTTTTTGTCTATAGGTTCAGTTGAAAACAGAACAGAGGGAGAAGGTTTGGGAACAAAGCCACTTGATACACTCATTGTTTGGAAATAAAGTCCTTGAGAATAGAATGTAGGATCAAATAATGTTTCAGCATTGCCTACAGCACTTTCTTTAACGTGTCTCATAGAAATACTACCACCTTTCCGTAAGTGTTTTAGAGTGTCTTGTCAACTATAATTCTTCTTTAAAAGTAGCTTTCAATTGCACCTAATGACATGGAAGCAGGAGATTTAGATTTACTAGGCTGCTTATGTACCCACTCTCACTGAGCATATCTGCAAACTGAGCCCCAAACCACGCCTGTAAATCTATTGAAGTAAATTTTCATAGACATGTTTCAGAGACTTTTGCAAAGAACCCCACTTTGAAGTTTTACTTGAAGTGCTCCACTGACCAGATTTAGAGGCTTAGCTGGAGTTTAGCTGAATATAGCTCCTAGTTACTTTCTAAGCATTTATACCCGTGCCTGTTAAATTCCAGGTAGAATATTAAAACTTTAGCCCATGCACTCAGTTGTGGAAGGAGTATGACATCTCAAACGTGTGTGATTACTAAAGGAACCAAACGGACAATAATTATGATCTATTTGACCACTTGCTTTATTTCCAACCAGGTCATGAGTTGAATAAAGTTACGGCAAATGGCATCACTGTAGTAAAACTGTTCCATTAGATGTATAGCGCAACCTGTCTAAAGACATGGTTTTGGAAGTGGCAGCTGTGAACAGCTAGCTCGTCAAGGCATTGCCCTCAGCAAACAAGAAATACAATAATTTCCTGAGAATTTGTAGAATATTATGCTGGCTGTCAGTGGACTAGAGGTTTTCTGTAGAAACAAGTCTTTCAGAAAATGGACATCATGAACGCTTGCAATTCAGCTTGCAGAAATTGGTTTAATAGTTAATGCTTTAATCTGATGTGAATCTCACTGTATAAACTACAACGTAAAAAATATCAATTTTTAACATGTTTACGCCTTTATTGGCTAAGCTTTCAAGAATCTAATTAAAGACATTAATCTGTAGCGTAGACAGCAGCTGTACTTGTCTGGCCCTGCATCCCACCGATGTTACTGTAACGGCACATAATGCTAAGCTCCTGCTGGATATGTTTTTTGGAGGTCTGAGGGGGAAAAAGCAACTTTTATCTGCAGAAAGCTGGGATACGGGCAATATCTATGCTTCTTCCAGAATTCATTTTCCAGGTCAGCTGAAACTGAATCAATATACAGCAATTTGTTTGATCGCAGGTGGCAACAAGCCAACTACCAAAGCAGGTATCTCCAATCCTTCTTACATCTGTGGGCAACCTATCCAAATGATGTGACATTAATTAAACGTAGGTTAGTGCAATTGTCAGGAAAAAAGAAAAAGCTATATTCTCCTTCTAAAGTAAAAGAACCACAACAGCAAGAGTGCCACATCTTTTTTGTATAAAAGATGCTCAAACCAGAAAATAATATATTATAGCAATTTTTAAATAAAGCATGGGTCATAACTTCAGTTTACTGGTAAACACAAATATGAGTCAACAGCAATTATGCTATTGAAGGGGGAAAACGATGAGCCGGGGTACAGAGACAGCCCTTTTGCAATGTATTTTTCTGACTTCTGTGATGCATATGAACTGAGCAGGATACTTTTTTTAGAAGTCTGTAAGTCTGTTAATTGCTGTGTGCTATTAAGTGCTTTCTGTGTTTAGGCAGGGCAAGGGAAAGCTACCTGAAAACATGATTTGAATGATGGTGTTTCCCATGTCACATAACCTGAACAGCATTAGCATATGCCCCCAACTGGGGTCCCATATTAAGGGATGGGAAGAAGGAAAGGGACCTGAAGCCTCTCGTTGGTTATTCCACTGTGATGGGTAAATACACAACCTTATACACAGTCAGGAAATACTTTCTCCAAACCTGTCTGTTCCTTTTCAGACACTAGGGGAAAAAAACCCCAGTTCTTAGAACCACCATAATCAAACAAACACAAGGTGCCAACACTAAAATAAAATTAATCACTCTATCTTCTTTTTGCAGAGAAAATATGTGCCAGAGCCACTAGAGTTACAGGATGAGGAAACAAAATTGGCTGAAGACAATCCTGGTCATTGCAGCTCAAAGCATTCATTTTTGTCCTTTTAAAAAAATAATTTTGAAGTAGCCTATTTCATTTTTATTAGTAGCTTTCTTCAATCAAATCCCGCTTACAGCATGACTCATGTCAGCTGTCTCTTTAATGAGAATTTTGGGTTTTTTTGTGCACAAGTTGAACTATTTTGCCATTAATAGCATGGGTAACACAGTCCATAGAGAATACCAACCCTGGAGCAGCAGCGCTTGCCAAAACACTGCAAGGGGTTGACTGACACGAGCAGCTAGCCTGGGCTTTCCAGTTCTGATAAACATGCAGCTGCATGTCACTCACATATTCTATCAATGCAGAGCCTCTATTGAGATAACTCAGCATAAACTGCTCCCTGCCCCTCACCAAAAAAATATAGATAGATAGATATAGAGATCAGTGGACTTTTGCTACTCTGCACTTAACTCTCCAGACCAAAAAGAGTGAAATTTTATTTAAATATTAAGTGCTATACAGAAAAACTTAGTATGTGACTAGTGAAGGAGCCATCTGTATTCAACGAAAAGTGATTCTGCGATTGAGAATTTAACTGACTAATTATTTAAATGTCAGTAATCATAAATGAAAACAGGCAGGCACTTCATTGCACAGTGAAATAAGATGGCTTTTACCACAGTAGACAAAATTTCACAGTGCAATGACACAACTGTGCCACACTCCGAATTAATAAACTGTTGCTAAAAATACTTAACCCCCTTCTACTCCCCCGATCAGCTGTCCCACGGGAAAGACACAGAAAAATCAAAACTGATAAAGATAAATTAAAGCAACACATGCTGTCACATTGCTGCAAACTTGTCAAAGAAAGAGAGATGAGAAAATTACATTCTTTTTCTTTCAATCATCCTTGATTTGAGGGTTGCTGGCATCAAAAACCTTTGTTAATTTGTCTGCTTTCAGAAGAGAAATAGCAAAGAGTGAGCATCTGAATTCCTTCTGTCCCAAATTGAGTTTGGAAATGTTTCTTTTGACTGGGGTTCTGCCAAGTCTCAGGAAGTGTCCATCCTGATTTGTAAGCGGTTTTCATTCTCATTAATACAACTGATTTGGACATCTTCTTGCAGATTACCTAATTCTAGTATGATTCCATTTTAAAAATTAGAACTAATTTATTTCTAATATGAGGACTGATGAGTTTATAGCATATTTTAATTGGCCATCTTCAACGTAACATCTTAAATGCCCAAGGTGGCGGAAATTGTGAATTTTTATGCTTAAGAAAAATTCGAGATTTTTTTTTAAAGCTAGAATACAGTACAGGTTCAAGGAGGAGATTGCACAGCCTTCCTTTCCCTTGTACTCTGTGCAATGAATACAGAACAAGTGAGCGTGATGTCTGCAGTTTGTAAAGATGATTTGCACTGCAAGAAAGTGCACAGCAGATCAAGGGCAGAGGGGAAGAGAAGGGACAGTTCCAGCCCTGCTGAAAAGCTGAGCAGCAGCAGCAAGGATGTAGAACTGTGCATCTTCCACAGAAGCCAAAGTGTATTTGTGTCTTTGCAGTTTTGAATGGCATAATCTCTAGCCTTTGGATTTATGAATGAATATTCTCAGTTTACACTTGGCACCTCTGAACATAATTTATTTACAATGCCTGAGCACCAAAAACACAAACTGTGCTTATTACAAGGTTCATTTTTATTTGATGGCACACGAACCAGTCTTGGGATTTATCTCATCTCCATGAACCCTAGGTAAAAACATTCACATGAAAACAAAAGAGCGAAGAACTCAGAAATGTTTATATGGCCAATGTCAAGCTTTCCCGGTGTTGCATTTTTAAAAGATATTTGATTGATCACAAGAAATGGAGGCCAGCAGGCAAACTCGCTAAGCTGCAGCAATCCCAATGTATTCAGAATGCATAACCATCCATCTCTACCCATTCTGACTATCACCACCAGGATGTATTCATTCACATTAAAAAATGGAACCAAAACTTTCTCCATCAGCAAGATTTGTTGTGCTTCATGGAGGGGATGAGGCAGAAAGATTAATCACTGTTTACCACTGCTTCTGCTATTGAACAGATAAAGGACAGCTTTAGTTGTCATTATAATCATACCATAGGACATTTATTACTTTATCATTAAACTTCTATAGCATGGTTATTACCATTTCATTTAGAAGTCTTAGTCATCGCCCAGGACTCTCCTGTGGTACCGTGAGACAACGTCGAACAAAAACTTTGTGCTGCAAAGCACTTCCAGTCAACAAAAAAGATGAGGTAAGAGAGAAAGACTTGGCAACAGGAGCCACTGCGAGGTAATTTTCCTATAGGGGACAGTTATCTTTTCTGCTTTATAATTCTGTAGTGTGATTCCTTCACCGTGAGTTTATTGTTCCATCACTTCTGAGCTGCTGCTGATCTCACATGGTCTCTTTAGTAATCAGTTCTCTACGCACTTTTTTTGTACCTGTTTCCTTATATGGCCATTCTATAGAATACAAATGTTACCAAATTTTGGAAATTTTAGTAATAATCCCGGCAGGTTAGCTTTAGTTTTAAATTGTTTAAAATACGGACAAGCATGTCATTTATACCTTTGGGGATACCCTCTAAAACATAAAATACATTAACAATGATAATCCTACCTATATATTTCAAATTGCTATTTTGCATAAGACCAAGACAAATGACAGTGTATTAATATTTGAGATAGGCTTGAGCAACATTCCTGCCCTTTGTAACTTATTTGACATCTTCATGCAGGTCTGAACAGTGCAGTTTATACCCACCATAATGAATCAAATAAAAATTCCCTTAAAAGTTGTC